CGAGGGCGTTTGGTTTTGATGCTGAAATAATATTGGAAGTAATATTTGTCTTCAAAAACGAGAACTATAGACAATATTTATTGTAGGTAAGCATAGTGGAGTTTTATGTTAATTTTTAATTTCTGGGTAAAATACTTTGAAGAATTCTTTCTTCATTCATGCATTCATGTCTATGTGCATGAATGAAGGTCGATATTTTCCATCAAGTAGGTAGTCAGCTTGTTTGCTATATTCTGTGTATCACAAAAAATACTTAGGAATTGATAGTTTTACTAATAGCATAAAATTGAAACAATTATTTATTATCTCATACAAATTTGTATGAGAAATAGCCATAGATTATATTATCTATAAAGTGAAAGTTAGATTGGGTATAGGAATATTATTTTTATATATTTTTGATTAAGACCTATTACAGGATTTTTATCATGTAAAAATTTGTTTTATTGCCATTTTTTTATGTTTGTACGTTTATCTACACTTAAATGGTTGAACGAGTTTGAATGAAATCCGGCACATGAGTAGATTATATCTCAACACACAGGATACTAATGCACGCGATCAAAGCCGCGAGATATAACTAGTATTACAAATGTGATGGTTTGTAAAATTGTTTTTGTTTGTTACTCAATCACGTTTAAATGTTTGGACGAATTTTAGTGAAATTTAGTTGACGAGAAAGTTATATCATAATTTAACAGATAGAAATATATTATATTCTATCTTGATTCACGTGAGAAAAGCTGCGAGAAACATATTTATATTTAAAAAATATATAAAAAAGTTGATTTATTTCCTCTACGGAATCCCTAAAACTGTCTGGATATATTCCGTTGATTTTTTCTGTCAGGAACATATTTAGACAATAAAATGAAAGTGCGTATGTATCGAAGTCTATACCTTTCCTCGGAAACTTTGTTCATATTTGTCTTAAGTACATGTTGAATTTTATATTGTCTTAGTTCTTCCATTTATTACATGAATAAATGTATTGGAGTAACAATTTTGGGTTTACTTAGGGGTGGGATATGGCGTGAATTTACTGGGTACAGAGGAATAACACCTGAGTCCTCAGGAATGGCAACGCATGGGGGGTATTATGGACGAAACAGTATACTCTGTTATGTCCATGGTACTGCTCATGTCTATAGGCGACGGTTACCACTTTCCATTAGGTGGGCCGTCAACTTGGTTGCCATTTTAAGTTGTATAAAAAAAAAAACTTAAAATTTCTTCAACATAAGTGTTACTTTCTTTAAGTATTTTTTAGCATGTACAACCATGTGCGAATTCCGCATTTCTCTTACGAAACTGATCACAAAATGATTTTACAATTATACTGATTTTAAGTATAATTAATTTGATGTAATTACAAGACACATGAATCCAGTTCAGATTTTTTATTAGGAGAGAGAGAGAACTATTCTTCTAACGCTTGCTATTTATCTAATTATTATACATATATGTATGTATATAACCGGTTTTATATTTGCTCGACATCATGACACATCGTTTTATATGATGTGCATGTAATTAATAGAATAATAACTTTGTTAAATTATTAATATTGATAATTATGTAAATTATTTTTATTCCTTCTTATTAATGATAGTTAATTAAAAACAAGTCGAGAGATGCTACAATTATTCATTTAACAAATATGTAAAGTATGTAAAAAGAATTATAGACACGTGATAATCTATTTTGCCGCTCAAAATTATTAACCCCTTATTAATAAAAACTAAAACGTCCTACAAATTTATTAGATTGTTTTGTCGCTGCCTTTTAAATTGAGAAAGTGGTGCAAAAGAAAGGACAAAACAATGCAACAGCTAAAATAGGTTTATAAGAGGTTTGATGTTTTATGAATAATATTTTTTTTTATTTATTTATTAGAACAACCTACAATATTATTATGGACTATGATTACAGTTTTTATCTCATGCAATAGTATTAGTATTAGCTTAATTACTGGTTACCACGGCATGCATTAATTTTCTAGAAGAAAAAGAACGTTTTATAATTTATTTACTTTAGCCAAAATAACATAAAAATATGGCGTGTATAAATATATAGGTACGCTTGAATATACGTTTATTCACTTCATATTGAACGGATTGATTATTTATTTTATTTTTAATAATATGAACGGTTGATTTAAATGTATTGAATTTTGCAAATATGTCACACACGCGCACGCACATATACATGCATATTACACACACACACACACACACACACACACACACACACACACACACACACACACACACACACACACACACACACACGTGCGGACACACGTTAATGCAGCTATCGCACACACACACACACACACACACACACACACACACACACACACACACACACACACACACACACACACACACACACACACACACACACACACACACACACACACACACACACACACACACACACACACACACACACACACTTTACACACACACTCTTACCACAATCTTAAGTGATCTTGGCGCCTTAACGGTTTAGAAAAATCGTCAAATTGAGAACTTCCTTTTTTGGATTGGCAATAAAAATAACAGTGACTTGACAATAACAAAACAGTGTTTCCGTGTTGTTGGAAGGTGTCATCTCGCCGCCCCCGCGTTGACTCACTACGATCGCGAGTGCGCATGCGTGATCTCATCACACTATACATGGCACCGGCTGCTTTACATGTTTTAATTTTATAATATACATATATATAATATATAAATTATAGAAGTTTGTTCAACTATACGACCTTGGTGGGGTGTAGTGGTTTAATACACCGTTTTATCTTTTAATGGTCGCGTGTTCGAATCCCGCGCAATACTAACATACTCGTATGTATGCATGAAAAGGTCTGTTTGTATTGGTCTTCTACTCGTAAGTGTAATAGGTATCAATGTATGTAATTATAAAAATCCAGAATTTTTATCACTATGTGCGTTTTAGACAACTGAGATTGTGTTCCAGAACAAAAAAAAATCCCGTGTATTCCCGGCATAGAATAGTGGCGTATTTATCTCCATGGGTGTTTTGAAAGGCGACTAAGGGCTGGTGAGGGATGGGCAGCAGCATCCCTCTTAAAACATCTCTAAAGCCTAACTGCGGTTGCTAATCCGCTTGCCAAGTGTGGCAACTACTGGCAAAATCTTCCTGTTCAGCAGTGGACAGTTAAAAGCTGATATGATGACAAAAAACAACTTCAATTGTAGCTAATCCAGTTAGTTCGATTTAAAAACTAATCTACTAAAAATCTAAATCAGTCTACAACTGACGGACTTATGAGGTAACAAACAAAAAAAAAACAGTTGAATTTAGAACCTCCTTCTTTTTGAAGTAGTTTGATAAAATCACATTCTGGATCAATGCATATAAGATTATTATATGACGCTTGAAAAAATGTAGGTTAACATGGTCATATTTTAAGAGAGTTTTAATAAAGTGAATGGTTTAAATTAACACCCTATTAGGGTTAATTGTGCATAACTTTATGTTATCCCGACAATGTTCATCACGTTGACCAGAAGTAAAGGCACTAGGGTGATATCCTAATAGATTATTCATTCATCATCGCGTCCTACAGAAAAAGGGATGGCTCTATGAGCCCTTAGGGAAATATGAAGAGATTTACAGCTTTTACTCAACGGAGATATGACCTATCACATCAGGCGCGGTGCAAATAACTTCACAACTTTTTTTTTATTATTATAGGCCAGCGTCGTTTTGTTTATTAAAACTTTTTAATGTTGCCAATATGGGAGGCGGTGATATTTTTTATTTTTAAAACTGAAATGTTACACTCGGAACGACTGTGTCATGGATATGAATGCCTAATTCATTTTTTAGTTTGTTATGTTTCGCTTTGTAATAAATATTTATATTTTGCGATATGTTTTGAAATAGAGGAGAATATGGGCATCGGTATAGACTGATAAATAAAAAGACTTAAAAATGTATCTATTAATATCCCACTAATGGGTATGAGAATAAAGGCTTTTTTTATACAACTTAGAATGGCAAACAAGCTGACGGCCCACCTGATGGAAAGTGGAAAGCGTCGCTTATAGACATGAGCAGTACCATGGACATAACAGAGTATACTGATTCGCCCATGATACCCCCCATGCGTTGCCATTCCTAAGGACTCAGATGTTATTCCTCTGTACCCAGTAAATTCACGCCATATCCCACCCTTCAAACCGAAACCGACCTTCACAGCCATGCAAACACAACTGCTTCACGGTTGAAACACGAATGGGACAAAGGTACCCAAGCAATCGACTTTTATACAAAGTCTCCTTCTGGCTAAAGGCTAAAGTTTTATTTATTCTTATGGTATGGGTCTCTCCTAATAGTCATCATCATTTTCCTACGCTTATCCCAATTATTTATTTGGGGTCATTGTAATGTGTTTTTCTCTTCCTATATATATTCTTCTCTATTCGCAGTCATTTCTGCATTCACTCTCGTTCTGGTCATATCATCCTTTCACACAGTCCATCCATATCTTTTTAGGTCTTCCTCTGTTGTTATAGTCATCCACATTCATATTTAGTACTTTTTTTAAAATTCAGCACGATGGTATCCATGTGGAGGTCAACTTAACGGGGTATATTGCTAAAAATGGAACTGGTAGTTCGTATTACTAACAATCCCTCCTCCGCCACCCAGTCGGAGATCGTCCAACACTGCGTTTGCTTGTACGGGGTCGTAGCGATATGGGAAAGAACAATGTTTACCTATCCAGCTAGTAGGTTTGTAAAACAATAACAACATGTTACAAATCAAATAACGATTTTTTATTATTTAATTCATATATGACTCAATATTCTACATCAAATCTAAATGCTATCGCAATAAGGTTCAAAATTCTCCACGTTTTCGTCATAATGAACGTATAGTGCCGAGCGGAAACAGAACGTAAACAAAGAAAACTGGAACTCAACAGCAATAAGGCTCACTACGTACGAAATGCAGCTCGCTGTGTATCGATTTTATTAGGCACACGTCTCATATTATTTACAGACAAGTCGCTGATCCCGAGCAACGGTATACACCTCCAACTCTAGAGTGTATTTACCAAAAGCGTATTCATATTAGATTTCCGAGCACCCAATGCCAGCGTATCGGCTCTGTCACCGATACATTCGGATACTTTATACGAGTTGCTAGTAGTACGCTCGCCGCGACACGCGCCCGGAAGACTGTCAAATAAATACGAGCTGAAATATATCTGCTGTCGCGTGCTGTGATCCTGGTATATACGTGTTGTAGCAAGGATGAATTTTTGTTTGGTTTTTGTGCTGTTTGGTTATTTTTTCGCTTGGAGCGCGGGCATGTTGTATCGGCGGGATTCGGATAATGTACTCAAGCCCGGTGAGAATTAATTTGTTCTTTAATCGAATCGAATAAAAAAAGGATAAAAATAATTAGATTTTTTTTTTGTACTTATGATATATGTGGTATTCGTTAATTTTGTATTTTGAGTATTATTTATTAATCAAAAGTTGGTTTCATACAAATTTTGCAAAGGTTAAAATTGATTTTCTTTTGTTTAAATTATACTTTAGTATTTTTTTTCTACAATTTTGTTATTATTTTATTATATATTAATTTTATATGTGTTAAGAAGCTTTATACGTAATTAAATAAAAAATATACTATTGCATGCATACATTCTAACCCAATCTGTAATATACAATGTGAAAAAACGATTGATCGATATTTATATTGAAAAATTCTCAGACAGGACTCGATGCAATAAATTTTCTTTATTTCTCGTTATTCGAGTTTGGAATGTTTATGAACAAAATTAATAAATAAACTATGAACTAAAATACAAAGATAAAGTAAGTTATTGGAAGTACGATATTAGGTCTCCATTTTTATTTCCTACTAGATAACCTTGGGTAAAATGAACGTTGATTTATTAATAATAACTTTATTTATTGATTAGTTTCATTTTACGACTTCGAGTGACTGGATTAATATATGTTAATTGATCCAGATAAGAATCAGCCTCTGTATTTTTTCATTTCAAATAGTGCTTACGAGTATGTATCGAATTTTATGAGAATTGCTTAAGTTTTTTACGCGCTAAGAGGCAACAAACACATGTAAAAGTTATTACTTCAATACAAATGTGGATATTTCCAACACATTAATATTTGTTTCAAAAATTTTGAATAATATTGCGAAAAGTTGCAATTTGCATTTAATTTGAAGATGTATCTTGTAGACTACATCGCAGTAGCCTTGACGTTTATGCAGTTGGTGCCTACACAGGCGCAACAGCGGTGCACTTTCGAATATACATATTTGTACTATCAAAGGTCGTTATATTTTTTTTTTATGCAACTTAGAATGACAAACTGACGGCCCACTTGATGGAAAGTGGTAACCGTCGCCTATAGACATGAACAGTACCACCATCATCATTTCAGCCGTTAACTGTCCACTGCTGATGATAAGCCTTCCCCATAATGGGAGCCTTGCCAATAGTTGCCATTCAAATGGGTTGGCAACTGCAGTTAGGTTTTTAGAGATATTTTAAGAGGGACGCTGTATCCTTCTAGTTCTCTTAGCCGCCTCTTACGATTCCCATGGGGATGGAAGGGGTGAACTATTCTATGACCGTGATATAACAGAGTATACCGTATATGATATCTATAGATATGCTCCCAAGGGCGAGGCCTATGTTCAGCAGTGGACAGTTAACGGGTGACATCATTATCAATATTTATGTCGAAGAATTCATAATGAGATGACGAATAGATGTGTATTAAAATCACCATTCCGTGGCACCTGTTCTGAGCCACCTGTATTCATTGATTCAATACAGTCCTACACTGCGTTTGCCTGTACAGGGTCGCCACTATTAACTTTTTTCTATTTATTTATTTATTTTTACTTTCTTGTATACAAAATTTACATTGTTTTAATTTATATAAAATAAAGATGTACAACAGGCGAGCTTAACTCTGTAAGAGTTCTCTTCCTGACTTAAACCTTGAGCAGACTGGTACATGAATCACCTATAAATACCAGTAAATAATAATCTATTTTTGTTTTAATATAATAATCATTTTGTCGTTATTTACATATTATGAAGATATTGCCAAGCTGCTTAAATTAATTATGTGGTATTTGTCGCTTGATCTTCTATGGATCTCAAAAAATATACGTTCCTAATATGTTGTAAATCTATAACTAATATTATAAATCCGAAAATGACACTACTTGTCACTACTTTACCTCTAAATCGCTGACTCGATATTAATACATTTTAGTATATAGACAGATGGGACTCTAGAGACGGTTATAGGCTACCTTTTCTCCTGGTCAACGAACACATCGCAGTTACGCGGACGAAGTCGTGAGTTAAAGCTAGTAATTTTATATTAGGTACATTTGTGCTGTGTGCGATGACCTTTACTTGTGAGTTCATCCACAACTTCAAGTTAACGTGGTGACACTATCATGCAGGTATTTATCATGTCAATAATAAATTATTTTAATAGTTTAGCTGTGAACTCATTGTATATCGGATATTACCAGAAGGAGAGTTTGTACAAAAGTCGATTGCTTGGGTACCTCTGTCCCATTCGTGTTTCAACCGTGAAGCAGTTGTGTTTGCATAGCTGTGTTTCGGTTTGAAGGGTAGGATATGGCGTGAATTTACTGGGTACAGAGGAATAACACCTGAGTCCTCAGGAATGGCAACGCATGGGGGGTATCCTGGACGAAATAGTATATTATGTTATGTCCATGGTACTGCTCATGTCTATAGGCGACGGTTACCACTTTCTATCAGGTGGGCCGTCAGCTTGTTTGCCATTCTAAGTTGTATAAAAAAAATCGGATATAGTAAATTTATAAAACGAAGTAGTTTAAAGACGGTAACACGAGCAGCTAGTGAAAGTAGAAATATAACTTTCATATAAAAGTTTACCGTTCATATCAACATAAAATTGTCATTATTTTTAATCGATTTCAAAAAAGAGGGGCGTTCTCATTTCGGTTGTATACTTTTTAGAGAGTGCATTAAGTATGTATATGTAGTCCGGAAAAAATATGGGGACATAGAAAGTATGGTTAATTTTACTAAAAGAAAATATTGATTTGGTGTTAATACATAATATATAGATTTATGTTTCTTAAATCGATGATTAGTAGTACCTATGTTTATGCAAATAAATGATTGACTTGACTTAACTTTAAAACGACTGCATTTAGAGATTTATTAAAACTTAGAAAAAAATTGTAAAAGCAATTTGAAGTGACGGAAAAAAGGTGTCAAAAATTTAAAAAGGAATATTATATAATGTTACGTATTTTTGTCAATTCAAACCGATTTGATGATTATTTTTATTATGCAATTGATAGTTTTTATTCATGTGTAAAACGTTAACAATAATATTAACCTTTGTAGAAATATTAAATTAATATTTCTTTTTATCACTAAGTAGAAAAAAACGTCAATTTAAAATAACCTATCGTAAAAGTTTTTTTCAGAAAGATGCTCGTTCCATAGACAAATCAAATAGATGAAAATCTTTTATTTTTACCTCATATTTTAAACATATTTTTATACTTTTAAAATATAGGGTAGTGTAACCGCTTTCATGTGTGCGTGTACCTTACATAATCCTCAACGTTAGGGTTGCCACGTTAAAATTTTAACGATTTTTAAATTCATGCAGGATATTAACATTTGTAATCTGAACAGTTGAGTGGAGAATATTTCAAGTTTTTTTTTTCATACATAAAGAAATTGATTTCTTTCTATTATTCGTTTATTAAATAAAATTTTATTTATTCTTCACAATGTATTTATAGGATGGAAATATGTAAAGTTTCTAAGGGTGACAATAATTTTTACATGTATTTTTTTGAGTCAATTTATTGTTTATAATCTAATAATGGTAGGTAAAATAGTCATATACATAAGTGTCAAAACATTTCCTTTATTTACAATTAATTATTTTAATTTTTCGGTGTTTAATCTTAATATTTAAAAATTCTGTGTTGTGATGTTAGATCATATTAATCTTCGAAATCTTTTAATCAATTTTGTAAACATTTTGTAATTACTCCAACTTGAGAGATAGAATATTTTTTATCCCAATAAGATTAATTTATAGGTAATACATCGTTTTCCGTGTAGTAATCTAATAAAATAACTGGTTATATCAGAACATATGACGCATAGGTAACAACCCTAGTTTGTGCCATTTTTCATTATTTTAAATCCAGCGGCAAAAACACTGGAGTGTACTTGATGGAGCGTACGATTGTGCAGTAAGTGGCACTCGGTCGGCCGATGTAGCCTTGTGCCGGCGGCGGGCCACGGTCAAGAGTTGGCAAGGAGTGGTTCTTATGTAACCAATTAACAATGTTATGCTGATAGTTGTTCTCATATCAGGTGTTAATAAGTACACATTACTTCGCAAAAAAGCGATTTCAAGCGTGAATGATTATATATAATATATTATATAGATTATAATAATGATTGTATTTAAATTAATGTTCAGAGTTTAATGTGACGCGATTACAGATATATAGTATTTATATACCTGATTTTTATTTATTTTTTACTTTTCTTTAAGTTCCAGACACGAATTTCTTATTAATTCTTTAATTTCCCGTGTGGTTCCGGTATAGAATAGGTCACCCCTTCTTTTCCGTGGGCGTCGTAAGGAGTGGCTAAGGAAACTTTGTGGTCGAAGCATTGGCAGCAACGTCTCATTTAAAACGTGACCAAAGCCAAACTGTGGTTACCAACCCGCCTGCCAAGCGCGGAAACTACTGGCAAACTTCGGGATTCGATTTCCGTTATGGACAATTTAATAGGAATCCTTGGCAGAGAAATAAAATCTAAGTTCGAGTCTGAGCGGTTGGAATATAATCATTAATGACTTACTAGAGGGAGATTTTGTATAAAAGTCGATTGTTTTGGTACCTCAGTCCCATTCGTGTTTCAACCGTGAAGCAGTTGTGTTTGCATGGCTGTGTTTCGGTTTAAAGGGTGGGATATGGCGTGAATTTACAGGGTACAGAGGAATATCATCTGAGTCCTCAGGAATGGCAACGCATGGGGGGTATCATGGGCGAAACAGTATACTCTGTTATGTCCATGGTACTGCTCATGTTTATAGGTGACGGTTACTACTTTCCATCAGGTGGACTGTCAGCTTGTTTGCCATTCTAAGTTGTATAAAAAAAAAAAAAATTTTTTTGGAGTAACTATTGAATATTTCTTAATAATCTATTAATGTTTTACATCTCGGCACAAGTTTCTCTCCATAAAGAGAATATAGTCTATTACTATTGTGTAGATTAGACGGCTTGATATAGTTTTATTTTGGAATTGCGTTTTTTTGCGCTTGTGATTTGCGCTTTCCCTTATATATCTCCTAAGACATTGTGGAGATAAAAATTGTTTTTATTCTTAATCTGTCAGATTAAAAAAAATATTTCGAAGGTATTTGAACTGCTAAAAGTATTATTTCTGTTACAAAGTGGCCAGACATTTTATTATTACTATTTCATTAACAATGTAAGTATATTGTGTCGAAAATTCATTAGCATAATGTAAATCTACAGTAAAATAATAGAGAAATAACATTTAAAATTAAAATAACATCAGTAATTTCTATATTAGAAGCAGAAATTTATCTATTTGTATTATGAATATGGGTATTTTTATAAAGATTACCTAGACATGTAATGAAAGCATAATTTATTTATCCAAATGTGTGTGTTTTATTAAAAAAAAGAGTGATATTAAAAAATCCTTATATAGTATATATTATATATTAATAATTATTATAAATTTATTAATTTCAATTAAATTCATTTTAAATAAATAAAGTGTAATTTAATATGCAGCTGTCTTAATATTTCAAATTCAGTTAGACAATAAATACTTACTGACATCAAAAAATTATGATATTATTGAAAATAAATGTATTTTATGTAATTTTTTTAATTATATAAGAAATATAGTGTTGCTGTTATTCGAGAGTAACGCTCTCTGATATTACTGATTATTTGATTACAATTATTTTGTTTAATTCCGCTACCATTAGTAATCGTGCTTCTGCCAACATTCAAATATTAATTATTGTTCTTAATAACAGAACACAACCTTCCATATTAGCTATCTATCTTCGACTGCAATTCTGTCCACGCGCGTTCTGCGATATGTCCTTCACCTCTACAGGAGGCATTTTCAGGCAAATTAATAGATTGCTACTCGCGGAAAACCAACCTATTCAAAATAAAACCTAGTTCAGTAAAATAAGTAAAAATAATACCCTCCACTATCAACAATTAATTATAGTATACCCAGACTATAAACGTTAATTATCTTTTTTTTTATACAATTTAGAATCGCAAACAAGCTGACGGCCCACCTGATGGAAAGTGGCAAACGTCGCCTATAGACATGAGTAGTATCATAGACATAACAGAGTATACTGTTTCGCCCATGATACCACCCATGCGTTGCCATTCCTGAGGACTCGGGTGTTATTTCTCTGTACCCTACAAACTCATGCCATATCCCACCGTTCAACCGAAACACAGCCATGCAAACATAACTGCTTCACGGTAGAAACATGAATGGGACAAAGGTACCCAAGCAATCGACTTTTGTGCAAAGTCTCCCTCTGGTAATACCTATAGTTATGATCAGCACCATAAATGTCATTAAATACACTGTGATGCTCTAATATCACCGACGTCACAGCATATCGTGGGCTTATGATTTCATGAGGACTAAGATGTTATATCTCTGTAGAAAAATTATTATATTTTTCTTTTTATACATATTTTTTTAACGCCTTTCAACTGAAGCATAGCTAAGCAAGGATATTTGTTTAGCGTAAAAGTACGAATAGGGCAGAGGTGCACATGCAAACGAGCTTCGTACGAAGTCTTCCTTTGGTAATTTTGTAAGTCGATCAATGTTTTTTTTATTGTTCCAGATCTATTACCAATATCATCGACAGTGATGCCGCTGCCATATTACTCTATATATGGATACGAAAAGAAAATACTTCGAGAAAAATATAAGAAACGACCACTGGGGAAAATATCGCTAGTCACGAAAGAGCCTAAATAAAAAAAAAAAATATAGATTTATTATATATCATGACTGTACCTAAATAAGTTATCAGCATTAAAATATTTTGAATAAAGTTTTATATGTTGTAAAATGATGACTTCAGTTATTTATTGTCTACTTCTATGAAATGAAATGCAATACTAAATTTTTGGGCCCAATTTCATAATTTTATTGGGAAATAGACTCAGTAAATGGAATAACATTTCTTTCGTCATAAATCCTACCAATAGTCTAAAGATATTTTAACATATTTAAAATTTTTAGAGTATATGTATTATGTAATTTTAACATCAAATTTGTGTTTCGTTTGGCCCTGAAACTTCGGTAAATACTTCATGGTAGGCTTTCTGCACCTTATATGCTTCGCTAATGGACAAGAAACAGTTCTGAACCATCTCCATTTGTATTCTTGCAATGACATTTAAAATTGACTCTACGAGGTCGTTACCAGATAGTCTATAGTCAAGTGTAGGACAAAAAAATCATTATTTTGCGTTAGCTGCCAGTTCATCAAGCCATATAACTGAACTGATGGCATTTCAGCTTATATATTCTTTGTATTTTATCAGCAGCGAAGCTACTACAGTTCGCTGAGAAATTTGAAGCTTGTAATTATTTATGTCAGTTTTACTCGCGTTTTGAATTTATGGATGCGCGATTAATTTCGAATTCAATAGGACCTCTTATTCATGAGCGTGGTTCACACCTGTATCGCGAGCAGAACTGCACTATCAGCGCGCTGTTTGTCGCTGCGTGTTATTGGTGATGGGGGTAGTGGTGGTGGGGTCAATTATACAGACGGGTTTGATTTGAAGTCGTCGTATATCTTGTGGTGTATCATCGAATTTAACACTTGAGTAAGGCCTACATAGATAATTACAATACAGTATGATTCACGATATTTATTATTCAGCAATTAGAAGCTAGTTCATACGGTTATGAGTGTAAGATCGTCATATTATACTAGCTGTTTACCGCGGCTATTTTCGCGTCAAGCAATATATAAATTATTTTATAAGTTACGTTTTTTTTTATGGCTGATAATGGAATGGTAACTCCGTGCGCGCTATCAGTATGCACTGGCGGGGCACTAGTGAGGGATGATAGATGAGGATGAAGCAGGTCAGTTAGCCCAATTGGGTTAACTGACTTGCTTCATCGTAATTGGGGGAAAGGGATTGTTAGTAATAGGGTCTAGCTGATCCATTGCCATACAATATCAAGATCGATCTCCACGTGGTTCCCCTTGGAAACCATCGTGGTTAATTCTAGTGGAATTCGTCATGATGTGCTGACTGACCTGCTTTCATTCTCACCTGTCACCTCTGACTGGTGCCCGCCAGCGTATACTGATAGCGCAGATAGGGTTACCATTCCATTATCACCCATTAAAAAAAAAAACTTACATGTAATTAGATCGAAAAAGCTCGACTAGATTCAGAATCAATTCAAGAACCTTAGTCATGTGATTATGACACGAGCACGAGCATGCAATAAAACGCTTATAAACCTAAGACTATACTGTAAACGTATATTCTGTTAGTTTGAAATATTATTTAGCATTTAATTTATATTTAAATGAAAAACAACACAGACTACAAAGGCATTACAAAGGATCTTCAAACTCACTTTTGTAGACGCCTTTCCATTCCTTTAACGTACCTATTTAAATTATTAGATTCGACATTTATATTTTATCCAGTTTATTTATAGTATATCCGTAAAAATATTTTTCTTTATTAGAGTTTATCACTATTACCTTTTGTTTTTTTTTAATGCATGATAATGGACTGGTAACTCCCCTTGCGCTATCGGTGTACACTGGCGGAGCACCAATTAGGAATCATAGGTGAGGATGAGTCATGTGGGCCCATCGTGACGAATTCAGCAATAAATCAAACATGATGGTTTCCAGGGGACGAGCGTGAAAGTCGACCTGATAGGGTAAATTGATAGCAATAGGGATGCTAACTCCCATTAGTAACAATCCTTACTCCTCCCACTACCTTCTGTTAAGTAAACTCTTACCATTACGAGCAGGTCTTTGCTCCGTTAAGAATAGCTATTTCTATAATGTCCAAATTATTATATCTAAGGTGAGGGGAAAGGGATTGTTAGTAATGGATACTGAGAATCCCATTGCTAGCAATATATCCATCCAGGTCGACCTCCTCGCGGTTCCCTCTGGAAACTATCATGGTTAATTCCTGATGAATTTATCATGATGGGCTAACTGGCCTGTTTTCATTCTCATCTATCACCCTTCACTGGTGCTCCGCCAGCGTATCCCGTTAGCGCAGGCGGGGCTACCATACCATTTTCACCCATCAAAAAAAATATACCTAAGGTTAAGATGACATTATAAAAAAAAAATGCTCCGAATTGGCAAGTTAGCGTAAAGAAATAAAGAAATGCAATACGTCATAGTATTTCCTTTAGTTAAATGGCGATCCAAAGGCTGGTCTGGCTATTTTGCAAAGTGCAAAACAAGCTTCGTTGCACTAAGGGAATTGCTGCCAAAGTATTGGGCAGTTTACTACCATATTTACTGGAAAAAATATTATTTATTTACTTTATATATATAAAGGTATGGGTATTATACGTAATGTAAAATACGTAATACGTATGAAGTAAAAAAAGCGGTCTTATCACGAAAGCAATCTCTTCCAGACAACTTTTGGGTAGAGGAAAAAAGAAAGAGGTGGTAGCTGTTTGGCACAATAAGTTTATCTAATAAAATATATGCAAATTTATTTTTCTAAAAAGGAATCAAAAATTCTGTTGACTTATGAACCATAAATCAAGGAATACGAAAGTCTATTATTTAACATTTTTTTTCTTCTATTCATCTCTTTTTAGATATTCTAGATTTTTCTTTAAACATTCTCACCATCACTGCGATTCATATGCTCATACCAAGTCAAACAGTTACTTTACCGGTGTTACTTTCTCTGTTTATTGTCCATTTTAGTGCATCAAAATGATACCGTTGTCCAAACATAGAGAATATGTGATCAAAACGCCACGGTGATGTCATTAGTCTAAGCTGGTTATCCAATTTTGCGTCAAACCGCTCTCGCAGCGAGTTATGTAGCCGGTTGATTTTAATTAAAACTAGCAACGTTTTCACTACTGCCGTACATTGTCATACGAGAGGTTCGTATGCAATCTGGTATATTAGTTCTAATTAATAATATAAAAATAATTAAGTTTGTATGAGAACAATTACCGAAAGCACATTCTGAAGGATGGCACAGAGGACATCTGTCGGGCGTGTCGCCATCCCGGAGAGTCACTCAGACATGTGCTTTCGGATTGTTCAGCTCTTGCCAACACTGAGTACTTGCACAGACACAACCAGGTAGCCAAAATACTCCATCAAGAGTTGGCTCTGAAGTACGGCTTCGCGAATGAGAGGTTGCCGTACTATAAGTACGAGGCCCTGCCGGTCCTCGAAAGCGACAGCGTCAGGCTCTACTGGGACCGATCCATCATCACGGACAGGACAGTTCTTGCGAACAAACCTGATATCGTGGTGATGGATCGGGCACTCTCGAGGGTGTTTTTGGTGGATGTCACCATACCGCATGACGAGAACCTTGTGAAAGCCGAAACCGAGAAGAAGAGAAAATATCTCGACCTGGCCACGAGGTGACCAAAATGTGGGGGTGACATCCACCGAAATCATTCCAATCGTTATGTCGGTAAACGGTCTTATCCCAACCAGTCTGGAACAACATCTCGGATGGTTGGGATTCCGAGGCGGCTCAGTCCCGGGAAAGATGCAGAAAGCGGTGCTCTTAGATTCAGCCCGCATTGTACGCCGGTTTCTCTCCCTGGGGCCCTGAACCCTGGCCGACTGTGCTTCTGCCGGGGGTTAGTTTGCCATCTCCTCTCCTTAAGAGGGGAGATGTGATTTTTTTAGAAGTTTGTATGAAATGTGAATGTAATGTGTAATAAAAGTAATTTAGTTTGATTTATTTGTCAGCTCTTCAGTCAAATTTAAATTTTATGTATTCGGCTGAAACGGTGAAGGATTTTTACTATATATATCGATCAATATAATTTCATGTAATGTTTTAATTTTCAGCAATTTGCATCTTTTTGCCAGGCAATTTGATTGGCAAAGATAACGATATCGATATATTTAATTGTTCAATGAAGAAATTCACAGACAGGTTATTCATTTATAATTAATTTATAATTAATATAATAATTTATATCATAGATATCATATCATCATAGATATAGGTATTATAAATGTTAAACGTTATTGCATTAGGCAAGAACCTGTAATGATATTGTTAATAAATAAATAAATAAATTTATTACATGTATCTACATACGTCATACATGAAGTTAAATAAACAACTCGGTGACGTGGACAAAATCGAGGGTAAAAATTTGTTATTGTTCATAAATAAAATATTAGATTAACGTGACATTTTTAATATCACAAACACATTAGCAGTAAAACCATTAAATGTATATTATTTAAGATTGTGTTTCACAAAAACAAAAGCGACTTCAATTGTGGCAAAACTAGTTATTTTTTTTTAAAAATTAAATAACTGAATCCATTTTGGTAAAATTCCTATGGGACTGATTTGTAAGTATATTTTTTCAGATAAAAACATAACTTTCTAAATCGGTTTACAGCTAATAAAGTTATGAGGTTGCAAACATAAAAAAAATTACAATCGAAATTCGGTTGTAATTCCTTTGTCCTTGTTTTTTTTTTTAATCAGTTGAAAATGCTGCAAAATAAAGTAATTTAATATTTTATTTAATAAAAAATCAACAAACTCATTACATAAAAAAATAATACTCAAAATTGAAAAAAAAATTGATGAAAGTATCACTTAATTTATACATAAAAAAATTATAAAGACGAATTAAGCCCTAGCCCCACTTAGCCCACTAAGAAATTACTTATAAAACATAGTTGATTTAGCCTAATGCATTGCACAAAATATCAGTAAAAGCAATACATTATTGTGCCCGGTCTGGGAGCCACGACAACAGTAGGGCTTGCCTCGGGCTATTTGTGGAACCTAAAAGTGACTGCTACTGCATCACGTACAATGCAACTAT